TCTTAACATTAATTTCGCTTTGTTTTCGAAATAGATTTCAGGTATTGAGAGTCCTCATATAAAATAGTTGGCCAGTTTGGTCATTTTTCTTTTTTAGGTGTCGTTCCTTTAAAATTGATAGTTGACGTTTTTTCAATATCATTGTTTTGCTACAATACCACTCTCTAAGATTAATGGCACGCGATATTCCATCATTTTTTAATTTTCTTAAAGTTTATGTTTCAGCTTCTTTTCAAGTTAGTTCGTGCAAATATGAGGGTCTGGATGGCGGTCACCTAATTTTGCATTCTTTAATTGTTGTTATATTTGTCTATTCTTTATAGATGTTGCCCAATATTCTCTATTCTTTTTAACTTAAGCACTCCATTATTCTCAGTTCTTTTTTTTATTATTTGTTTTTACCTTTTTTATCTTTATTCTTTATTTTATAGCCCAATTTCCTGTTGTATTGGCTTATTATTCTCTATTGTTTAAACCCCATCCAGACCCTCAAATATAGAACACACAATACATTATCTATTATCTGTATAGCATTTAACGTACACACACACACACATACCCACCCATCCACCCACACCCACACACACCCCCACCCACCCACCCACCCACACACACACACACCAACCCACACACACACACACACACACACACACACACACACACACACACACTAACACACACACACACACACACACACACAGAGTTACTCTAATTAGTGTGCTAGTTGTGTGCTTTTTTGTTTCATTTTGCTGTTTTTGTTGCTGAGGAATGAGAGGGATTCTGACGGTTTATGTCCCAATATTCTGAAGAACATTTTAAAAAAAAAAACTTAGTGAATTTTAACAAGGTCTAAAACGAACTAGTAAACTCTTTGTAAACATGTACGCTTCCAAAAATGAACACTCTACTGCGCATCTGCAAACAGTACACCGCGCACCTGTAATATGATATATCAAAACGTACATGTGCATTAAGCTACGGATTTTAAACTTTCATTGTAAAAGGAACGTTAATTCTTGAACAAATTTCACTTGTAAAATACTAACAATACGTACAGAGGCCTGTTTATCAAATCAGTTTAAGGACTAGGTCATGTCCTGTGACCATATAAAGAGATATCTTTGTTCTAACTGGATTTTAACATGTGGAAATTTCGGATATGTTCTTTTGAGTTTCCTATATTTAGGACAGCGTGCGATTTAGGTGTATAAGGATGGTCTAAAAATAAGGGTTAATTAAATAAGGCTTAATTTGTACCATAAGCCTTCTGCATAGTATTTTGGTTTTACCATTGAATTGTTTACATTGAATAGTAAAGATTAATACTTTTCGGGTTCATCCATGAGATTCTGTTTTTCAGCATCTATAAAGTTTGGTTCCTTCTTTTGCCCATTATCACTAGACAATGTATATTTTGTTGTTAGTAATAAACTAGTATCAAAATAAGGAGATGAGGTATGATTTTGCAAATGAGACAACTATCCACCAAAGTTCAAATAAAGTGGATGTAAGCAATTATAGGCAACCGTACGGCCTTCAACAATGAGAAAACCCCATACCGTATAGTCAGCTATAAAAGGCCCCGACATGAAAAGTATGAAACAATTCAATAGAGAAAACTAACTTTATAACAAAACAATTAACGAAAAACAAATATAACAGACATCAACCAACGACAACCACTGAACTACAGGCTCCTGACTTGGGACAGGCGCATAAAGAATGTGGCGAGGTTTAATATGTTTGTGAGCGCTCAACCCTCCCCCTCACTTGGGACAGTGATGTAACAGCACAACATAAGAACAAACTATACAAATCAGTTGAAAAAGGCTTAATTCATCAGGTCGATGCAAAGCAGAAAAAAATCAAACATAAACACAGATAGATATTTCTACTCCAAATTTAACGACTTGAAATATTTATTAATGCATCATGCACGAGTTTGCCTTTAAACTCTGTAATGTATGAAACAATGACACTTTCTTTTAAACTAACGCAAAAATATCTATTATTCTTACCGATGATTCACCCAGTTGTGAATATTTACACTTAATTTATTCAAATCTTGTAAATAACGTAGTTATACTTTTGTTTTGTTGTATTGTTTCATGAAAGTTTAAATGCTAAATCTTTGTATAATGCTGTTTGTTATCATTTTAATAATAACTACTAATAATTGATTATATAGCTTTTTTAAAAATTATATTGATTGGTTATAATTAATTGTAATGTATTTTTATCTAGATAAATCCTTTTCACTTTTATATGGTTATTTTATTCTACGACAACGCTTTGGATAGCGATTAGGACACCCTTGGTAAGAGAGTCATAAGAGAGATTCGATTGACATGCCCAGACTTGTCGAGGGACAGTCATGATGTCATCTTAAATTATGTCTTAAGAACAGAACACAGTTTTTAATATAGAATATGGTTTTTCATCATAATTATAGGTTTATTGAAAGGATATGTACATATTTCCAATAATTGATAAATTTTGAGTTATTGAATATTCTGTGATTACGATTGGATACATTATAGCAAAAAATATACTATGTACATTTACATTTTTAAATGTTTTTAAAATTAATGTTAAAGATATAATTAAAACAGGCACATATACATAAAAACAAATATATGAAATTACATGTAAGATGTTCTATCATCTGTGACATAGTTTGTTATAAAACGCACGATTCATCTTAAAAGAGAGGCGAAAGATACCAAAAGAAAATTCCAACTCAAACGTCAAAAATAAACGTTAACATGGCTAAACAAGAAAAATACTAACTAACGAATACAACAGTACACAAAATTCAACATAGAAAACTAAAGACTGAGCAACACGGACCCAACCAAAAACTGGAGGGTGGGGGAATCTTAAACGAAGCAGTTGGATACCAACTCTTCTTTTAGATTATTTTCATATTTCCGATAAAAAGATTGTTGCTCAATGAGAAGAGGGGTAACTCAACTAAGATGTAAAGAGAGGTAACTAAACTACGATGTAAAAAGAGGTAACTAAACTACGATGTAAAGGGAGGTAACTAAGCTACGATGTAAAGGAAGGTTACTAAACTACGATGTAAAGAGAGGTAACTAAACTATGATGTGTAGAGAGGTAACTAAACTACGATGTAAAACGAGGTAATTAAACTACGATGTAAAGAGAGGTAACTAAACTGCAATATAAAGAGAGGTAACTAAACTACGATGTAAAGGAAGGTAACTAAACTACGATGTAAACTAAACTACCTACGATTTAAAGAAAAGTAACTAAACTACAATGTAAAGAGAGGTAACAAAACTCCGATGTAAAGGGAGGTAACTAAACTACGATGTAAAGAGAGGAAACTAAACTACGATGTAAAGAGAGGTAACTAAACTACGATGTTAAGAGAGGTAACTAAACTACGATGTAAAAGACGGTATCTTAACTATGATGTAAAAGGGCGGTATCTAAACTACGATGTAAAGAGAGGTAACTAAACTACGAGGTAAAGAGAGGTAACTAAACCACGATGTAAATGAAGGTAACTAAAGAAGGATGTAAAGAGAGGTAAATAAACTACGATGTAAAGAGAGGTAACTAAACCACGAGCAAATGAAGGTAACTAAAGAGGGGTGTAAAGAGAGGTAAATAAACTACGATTTAAAGAGAGGTAACTAAACTACGATGTTAAGAGAGGTAACTAAATTACGATGTAAAGAGTGTAAAGAGAGGTAACTAAACTACTATGTAAAGTGAGGTAACTAAACTACGATGTAAAGAGAGGTAACTAAACTACGATGTAAAGAGAGGTAACTAAACTACGATGTAAAGGATGGTAACTAAACTACGATGTAAAGAGAGGTAACTAAACTACAATGTAAAGGGGCAGATGAAGACGATAGATGTCGTTCTCTTTAGATGTTTTATCTATATCGTTTCACTATCGTATATGACGAAGATAATTCCAGACATACGTGTCGCTCTTTCTGAAATTTACACAAACTCTGAAATAGTAAACTACTGAAACATATTGATATACATAAATATAATCTGAAGGACTGCTGTGACTATGTACATAATAGTATTGAAAGTATCATCTGTTTATTTGTAAACGTTGCTTTAACATTAAACAGAATCAGGGACTTGTGTTACAGATGACATAGTTATTAGCACTGACAATTTAGTCTATGTACAATGTACGAAAGTTCATACCAAAGTTATTTCATTTAACTTTTCACTTTATTTGAGAAAGTGTTATACTCTATCAGGCTAAAGAACAACATGAGGAATCTAAAGGTAGCTTGTATGACGGAAAAAAAGTCTGCCCCAAACCAAAATGAGCATGTCTATCACGCTTATTGTTTGATTTGTACTAATTAGTGATATTTGTAATATACCTAAATTGCATAAGACAAAAACATATTGAATCGAATGCAGTCAAACAATTATCATTCAAACATCATAAATTAAGAACTATGCAATCATTAAAAACAGTGGAAATCGCAAGACTTACAAATTAATTGAGAAGTGTGTCAATAAAGTAAATATATTCTCCTCTCAAAGTACTAACCGTCATGTCATCATCGAGAACACAAAATGTAGATAGTGCCTTTATCAAAATATATGATTTTTATATGGTGTGTTATATCATATTAATAGGCATTTTGTAACTCATCATTTAGTAACACTTTATGTTAATATTTAACCCCAACAAATTATTTTTAGTACTTATAGATTTATGTTTGAATTGATTTGTAAATTCGGAAATGATAGAAAATGTGTAAAATATCATTCCATCGTTTTCCTATATTTTTCGTTTATCAATGTTCCGTTTCGTTTTGTTTCAAATGTAAAATTTGTATAGACTTTTTTTTTTATCAGATCTCTACTTTCATTATTTTAACTCTTACGATTCAAACATGTCTGGAGATAAAAAGTAACTATAACTTTGTATGTGATGCTAATACTCATATTCTCGATCATGCATAATGATGATGTTCATGCTATGATTTTTCAAATTGAAATTAAAGTATGGGGAAATCTGAATATAATATTATATTATCTTTTCTCTACGGAATTATTATATTTATGTTATCAGTTTAATATCTTTCGGCGCATCATTTTTTTCCCCAACCTTCCTTCAACATTCTTATATAATTGTTTTCTCCAAATGTATGTTTTTCTATCGCCTCATTCGGCGAACAATATTTGTCAGATTTGTAAATAGCTGCATGAAATGTCTCCTTAGAATAATATAGTCAGAAGCTACAACTGCAGCGACAACAAGCGTAATGAAAAAAATACCAAATACACCAATCGACTTTGCAACTGGACGATCATCCTTTGCACTTTTTCTTTTTCTAACATATGTTGATGTCAATTTTTTCTGAACCGCCAACTCTTTCTCAGTTTCATCTTTTATCTTGTGAACAACTTCATCAGTAACATATTCGTAACGAGGATTTCCGCGTTTCCGACATGGCCATTTGCATGCTAAAACATAAAAAAGAGTTACTATTCTCCATATTAAAAGGTATGTACATTCTAACTTTTTGTACTTTGACAACTATCCTCTAAACGAAAAGGAGAAATATGTGAACACAAGGTCACTGTACGGCTGTCAATAATGAGCCAAGTCTGTAACGTAAAATAGGCTGTACAAAACTTAAAAAAACACCGGGATATTAATTTAAAGAATGTTTTCGCACTGTTTGATTCTGTACAAGATTATTTAATTATCGGTTTTGATTTTTGGACAATTCGAAACTTCATGTGCATGTTTATCAGGATATGCCAACCAGATTGCACTAGAATCTACTGGAGATTGTATGATACAGGTCTTAATTTAATGTCTGCTCTAGATCTATTGAGCCTATGATATATTGGTTTCTTTACTTCATGGAACATCCTAGGGTCATAAAAACGCAGTAAATAAGATGTAACACTTGCATGGTCTTAACATGTTGATTCGCCGATGTCGAAGCCTTGAATCAAAATTAACTGAAATCAAATTTCGAAGCATGTTGAAAATATATGAGGGAAATCATGATGCAAATTATATTTAAATTACGTCATAAGAGATTAAGTTTCCAATAAGAACTGTATAGAAAAGTAAAGAAATTAAAAAAAAAAATATGTTGAATTATTCGAAACACTAAGGTTTTATTTAACCACAATGTAAAGGTTGCCTAAGAAGTATTTGGCACAAATGTTTGGAATTTTCGGTTTTTAATGCGTATTTAATTTTGCCTTTCCATTGTTTTGAATTGAGCGTCGCTGACAAGTCTAATTAAAACGTCACGGACGTCTGCAATACCAAATTATAAACCTGGTATCTTTGATGAGTTATTTAGCTGCACATGTGTGTCTTTTGCGACTTCATGCAGAGACCCCAAAAAAGGACCCGAAACATTGAAGCTACATTGTAGCACTAACCTTTAACTTCACGTTTCGCTCTTTAGCTGAATAAAGTGACCATGTTAGTTGACCTGTAAACATCGGTTAACTACTGCTACTTCTAATTTACAGTTATAAATCGACTGCTTACAGTTAATATACATAAAAATCTATGTGCAACACAACTGTGAGTATAATAAACATACTTTTGCACTGAAATTTTATTTCGGACCATGTAGAGTTCGCAAGACATTCAATACGACCATCCCCATACATGGTGTAGAATACTTTACACCTAAATTCATATGATACACCAAAGGTTTTTGAAGATTGGTCTGTGAAACCTCTAACCATCGCATGAGGAACCTGTATAGCTGTTCTTGGATCTGGACAGTCTATAAATGTTTATAATTACAGTATCAATTCAACACTAGTATTGCTACAGCCGGGCTTCTTGTATCATTAATATATGTACTTTATTTATTAGTTTGTATCAGGAAGTAAGGGCAGTGTACCTCTGATCGTCACATGCTACAATGAATGGAGCAGAATCTACTTAACCCTTCGAAGCACCTAAGATCACTATCCGTTTTTTTGTTTGGTTCGTGTTTAGTTATCAATGAAGTGATGTACACTTATTTGTCTTTTCGTCGTTTTTCGTTTATTGTTATTAATGTCCGTTTCTCTTCAAATTATGAGTTTTGAATTTCTCGTTTGTATCTTCCCCTTTTTTGGATTGTATAATTATTAATAACCCATATCTTGAACTCAAACTTCAATCAACGCTTTATTTTCATTTATCTTTCAAATCATGTCATAGTTTAGTGTTTTATAGAGTGTTGTTTGTCTTTTCATCGTTTTTCGGTTTTTGTTCAACTCATGATCTTTCATAGTTCCTTTGGCATGCTTTTGGTCTTCTGCCTTTTATATACTGTTTTGTCTCTATGCCAGTGAAAATTGAATAACGTTTTTTCTTTTTTTTTTTCTTTCAGTGTACTAGATAGCAAAAACAACAAATATTATGTGGTATAAGTAATTTTGTATACTTGATATTTACAATTATCACGTATTGAAACATAACCAAAAAGGGTTGCTCAATTTAACAATCACCAACTTGAACCTAATTTTGAAAAATCGATATTTTAATTTGCTTTTTTTGTTTAGTTTAAACATGCCAATGAATAATACAACTTTATATAATTTCAGACGTCCGAAGCACTTTTCAGTATTACCTGGATTACTTCTTAAAAAGCTAAAGACGTACAAGACTTGAAAACTTAAAGAGCTATATAACCAAAATAGACATATAGAGAATTGCCAAATTTATCTAAGGTTAACTTTATAATAATTGATTAATATCAGAGATAAAATACAAAATTAGTGTTCGAAGTAAAATCTAGCTATGTATTTGTACAGAGATATATCGTTTCACGTATTTAGTTATTAGTTTTTATAATGATTAAGATTATATTACAATGTTGACTGCTGTAACCCAATTTTGACGTTTTTACCTATTATGTCTGTTTGTTTTGCTCACACATTGTTGTCAATATAATAGAATTCTATGCGACTGTCATAGAGGTGAGAGGTTTATCTAGCTATAAAACCAAGTTTAATCCACCATTTTCTACATAAGGAAATGCCTGTACCAAGTCAGCAATATGACAGTTGTTTTCCATTCTTTAGATGTGTTTGAGCTTTTGATTTTGCCATTTTATAAAGGACTTTCCGTTTTGAATTTCCTATGGAGTTCGGTATTTTTGTTATTTTACTTTTTTCACAACCCTGTAAAGAAACAATACACACTTTGCGTTTTTTGAGTGATTTCTTTTAAGTATCAAATGGTCTTTTTGAGGTCGGGAATGGTTCAGAAAAGGGGTTTATTCTTTTTCCAATTACGTTTTCATTACAACTCAATGTTCTGTAGTGGACAATCGGGGTAATGTTTGTATAAGATTTTATGATATTTAGGTAATAAATACCTGGTATGCATTTGATTTGATGTGACCAATTACCACTGTTTTCACATGTAATTTCTCCATAACTCCACTTGGGGGTCAAGGTGGTTCCAGAATCACATTGTAATTTAATTGTCATCCCATACTGAAACAACGTTCCTTCCTGATAGTTTACAATGTACGAGTGTTCAGATGATAACCTTGGGTCAATGCAACCTAAATGAACATCAAAACGTGTAGTTAATTCAACAACAGCAGAAACAAAAACAATCCCCCGTAACCTTAAAGCAAGATATAGAAAGCAATGACGTAAGAAAGTCAGTTTGGGGAGGGTCTACGCTGGCAGTAATGCTTGGCATCGACACATTCATTGTGTTTCGGTCTTGTGACTGGAGCATCTCGTCCGTAGCTTGCATTCTTTTATATTTTCATTTTCGTTTGTGTTTTGTCATGATGAATCGGGCTGTTGGTTTTCCGTTTTGGGTTGTTTCACATTTTGTCATGTCGGGGACTATTTAGGATGGCAATCAAAACACATCTCTTTAATTTTATAATGTGAGGTTTTGTGTTTCCTTTCATCATTTCGTTAATATGGCTGCTGCTTACAAGGTAGCTTTTAAATCGACAGAGTTTTGATTGTGAAGTTGAAGACATCTCTAATAATTTTGTTGTTGATGTCATTATGATTTTATTGACTGCTATTTATTTACAGTTTCACCGGGTGTTTGTTTGTTATGAATCACACTGTTGGTTCCACTGGTGTGACAGTCTTACTTTCCCTTCCGGAACTCCTTTTTGTTTTACTTTAGTTTTCTATGATTTGTTTTGAAATATTATATTTTTCAATGAAAATGCTGTTTCTTTTGGTCTTAACTAAAAATGTCTTTAATGACTGCGTTTTCTCTCAAAATTTCGCCATCTGTCATGCTTACGGGTTTGAGGAATATCCAATTGTATACAGACTTGGTCATGTCGTAGAGCTAGTATAATACATATTGTAGATACAATGGATTGTAAGCGTTGGTTCGTTAGAAAGATACCATGAACCCGGAAAGAAGGGGGTGAGGGGGTGTATTTTTTTAACGATCAACGTTTATATTGTGTCTGTTATTTAAACTATTATTGAGACGGTTTTTCAAAATAACCGTTCTTTCATTAATTAGGCCCTATAAACAGTGAATTTAAATAACCACCTAATTATCTTGGATGATTTCCAAGAAACAACCAATAATTAAAATTCTACAGCTATTAGATTTAAATCATAAAGCAATATTTAAAAACAAAATCACATGCACTTTCTGTATACTGGACTGAAATTTCCATATACATATTATGAATCTGAATATTATCTGTAATTTACAAAATAAGGCATATTCGAACTAATTTCTGAGTATATATAATACGTATGTTACCGAATTTCAAGCAAGATAATCATAATTATAGCAACATCAAGATTCAATCTTCTAGTGATTTGCCAATAAATTAAATAAGTAAAAAAGATGTGTTAAAACAGATATTTTTTTCTGATGCAATTGTTCACATTGTCTACATTACAAGTGAGAGGTTTGCTACCTATAAAACCAGGTTTAATCCACCATTATCTACACAAGGAAATGCATGTACTTTGTCAGCAATATAACAGTTGTTTTCCATTCGTTTGCAAATTGATGTGTTTGAGCTTTTGATTTTGCCATTTGATAAGGGACTTTCTATTTTGAATTTTTCTTTGAGTTTGGTATTTTTGTTATTTTACTTTTAACTTTTGCGATTTATTCATAAGCAAAAATGGACAAATTGAAGTTATCTTTTTTTTTAGATACGTTTAATAGCCAATAATAAACCAAAAAAATTAACGGGAAATATTCGTTTTTATTAACTATTAACTATCAACTTTGACTTTACAACTCACTCATCTTATCTTCGCGGTCACCAGCAATACAATATATTGTCTACTGTTTATACATATGTGTGTCAATTGAACCGATGTGTATCATATTTCAAAATTAAGTTATCCTCATTGATATATATATATATATAAATATATATATATATATATATATAAACAAGTCTAAATTGAAAACAACGTATATATATACCATCTTTTCCGCAAGTTTATTGTTTTCTGTTTGGTATTAGATTAATATTAAAGACCCATTTTGTTACATCTTGTGATCCGTTTATTTGGCAATCGCCAATGGCAGTCAGCAGGGTTTAAGAACATCCGTTGTTCGACCTGTAAGTCAAATGCGTTTTGTTTGAATATTCTTTTTCACATTTTTGATCTTTTTGAAAATGTTGTTTGTGCTGTATTTAGATCCCTCTACCAAGAAACTTGTTTTGCATGCACACGTATAAAAATTGCGGTTTTTATCCAACGCAATCATAGGTGTGAACGTTGTTTTCAATTTAGAATTATTTATATTTTTTCGTTTGAGCTTGTATTATATTTGCCTTCGGGTTTATATGATCCGTTCATCCTAATTCGACTCTTCAAAATTCAAGAGTGTATCCTAAATTGAGGTAAATTATATGGCCTTCCAAATACCGTTTCGATTCCTAACATCACTGGAGAGACATTAATTGTCGTAATCCGGATTTGGTGTACAAATTTTTGCACCTCATGTTTGCGGTATACCGTCTATTCCGCAAGTTTATTATTTTCTGTTTGGTATTAAATTAATATTAAAGACCCATTTTGTTACATCTTGTGATCCGTTTATTTGGCAATCGCCAATGGCAGACAGCAGGGTTTAAGTACATCCGTTGTTCGATCTTTAAGTCAAATGGGTTTGTTTAAATATACTTTTTCACATTTTAGGTGTTTTGGAAAATGTTGTTTTTGCTGTATTCAGATCCCTCTACCATGAAACTTGTTTTGCATGCACACGTATAAAAATTGCGGTTTTTATCCAACGCAATCATAGGTTTGAACGTTGTTTTCAATTTAGACTTATATAAATAGCAACACATAACACACAAATCTATTTGAGTGTGGATTAATCAGTACAAAGATTAATACAATTACACAAATGAAATTATAGATTGCCTAACAATGTAATTTTAATACACTATTAAGAATGTAGTATTAGAATGTTAAAAATATTTACAATGCGATAAAAAAATAAACGCAATATTTCGCTAAACAACTAGCTTCATCGAGCGTGCATCTATTCAGGTGAAATCGGATGAAGATAAGAAACTTTTGCAGCTCATTGTACATAAGTTTTGCTGCCTCTTAAATAATTCAAAGTTTGGATGAAGTTCAAGATTATTTATTTAATTACAAAATTTGTGTTTGAAGTTTGCAACGTCCATTGGCCAATATTACAGAGATATAAAGGACGATGTTGTATAATTAATTATTCTTTATATTTCCTATTCTTTTGTCGTCTTTTTCATTAAGCCCATCATGTTCTAAAGTATGGAGCTGGTGGCTCCACGGCGAGAAGTAGAAGAGAACACTTTTGGATCCAAGGTCATGTTTTTCACTGACTGTTAATGACGTCTTGACACTTAATTCATTGGATGTTGGATTTGTACTGAGATACATTATTTTTTATCAATTGCTATTGGCTTTGAACATCCTGTTAGCAATTGCGAGTACCCCCGAGTTTGCACTTTGTTTCTTTTGTTTTTAGGGATGTATAAATAACCTGTCACGTCCGGTTTGTGCTTTTTGTTATATTTTTTTCTGCTTTGTATCGATCTGATGAGTTAAACCCTTTTCAACTGATTTTTAAAGTCTGTTCTTATGTTGTTCTGTAACATCACTGTCCCAGAATAGGGGGAGGGTTGAACCCCGACATATTTGATATGTGCCTGTAATTGATTGGTTGTTGTTGGTTCATGTCTGTCATATTTTTTTCTCGTAAATTGTTTTGTTATAAATTAGGCCGTTAGTTTTCATGTCGTGCATTTAAAAGCCGACTATACGGTATAGGTTTTTCTCATTGTGGAAGGCCGTATGGTTGCCTATAATTGCTTACATGCACTTCATTTGCGTTGGTAGATAGTTGTCTCATTGGCAATCATACTACATCTCCTTATTCTTATATCTGAATTAAAACCCATTGGTAGCCGAGAGCTTCGACGATGTGTTTGATATCAGTCAAACATAACATACTTCTAAAAAGGGGTACGATTCCCAGTGCAGGCAAATAAAAATTTCAAAAGTTAAAGGTAAGTTTTCAATTAATCCCATTAGTGAACAGGAATCTGTAAATTAGTCAATTCAAACTTAATAAAATTAAGCACACAAAAGAGACAATTGAATATAACTTGTGAGTCCATTTCAGACACATATTTAGAAAGCCTTGATTATAGTAAACAAAAACACGGCAAATGAATAGGCTGACGTCACGGCAATGGTTAAACTTAACCAATCCGTTTCTGTATGATGTTGTCATATAACCTTGTAAGACTCATTAACCGATTTAAAGCACGACGGGTGTTGTTCACCTCATCCTTTCTGTGAGGTCGTGTTGCTCAATCTAAAGTTTTTTTTGTAGTGTTTTCCTTTTTTTATCTGTATGTCTTTCTTCGAGCTATTTATTGACAACATGTCTGTTCCGTTTGCTGTATGTGGTTTTTTTTCAATAAAAAGTCGACATTTCAATGGGAACCAACTGTGCTTATACCACATATGTTGATTCAATCAAGTCAATATGGCGGCACATTCTTAAGTTGTGACATGTCAATTGTGGATTTGACGTTAAACAGTTGCAAATGAAATAAATGTTACATAAAATCACATTAGAACTAAGAAATAACAATACTATAGTTGATGTGTTGACGCCTTCAATTACGGTATGCCTTAAAAGAGTCTGGAAGGAGTTTTTATTGAAAAAAACATATGATAAGTATATCAAATTGAATTAAAATCAACAAAAAGTTTCGCATTATGAGCTGTTATTCTTAAATTGTTAATGAATTGCATATTCATAGGAAATAGACAATAACATATCGTAATTGACAATCCAAACACAACATTTCGAAGGCAAAATCAATTGCATAATTGCAGGGCATTGTAAACCAAAACATTCCAAAGATGTGCCAAATCTGCTTAGGAAGTATATGCCTAATGATAGAAAACCTTAATGTTTTGAATGATTTGAAAGCGTTACTGATAGCAAATTTATATGAAATGCCTGTAGAAATGAAAATTTTTGAAATTCTGAAATGATAAAAAAAACTTTTCTAAGACAAAACAATATGTGTTACCCTTTTGGCGATAATGAAAACAAATGTCTTACCTTCTGTGCATGAAAAGATATTTCCCTGCCAATTGGAATTGTTCTGACAAAATATTACATTATAACCAATTAATGTGTAACCCCCATCACAACCCATGGTCACATTTCCTCCAGGTGCCCATGATGTATTTTGTTTGATGTAGGAGTTGTTATAAAAAGTTTGAGGGTCTATGCAATCTGTAAAATGAAAGTACGATGCATGTGAGTTTCTATTTTACTACCCTTTACCCCTGTTAGATTGAAAACATTTTAAAAAGGTTCACTGAGATAATCGACTATACACGGACAATAACCTTCATCTAATTTTATTTTTCAGACAATTGACTACGAATGGAATCTATTTGTTTTCCTTTTTAATTGCTGGATAAATCTTTAATGCAATTGTGTTTAATGTTGAGTAGTCTTAACAGACTTCAATAACTAACGCGTCAAATAAAATCAAAGCAATATGATATGATACGTGTTTAACTGAACATATTTGCTTTAGTTTTAAATAATATCACTAGAATAAAATATACAAATTAGCAGGAACAAAATACAACTACAACAATGCTAATTTCATGACAGATGATTTGAAAAAAAATATTACTTATTTTTTTATGATTTGTAACACTTTTTCCGTAAATAAAATACATATCTATATTAGGATACATTAGGATACAACAGATACAGATACAGAAATGCGCATCTGGTGCAGAAAAATTAGTACCGTTAATGTTATAAGTACCACTGGGTCGATGCCTCTGCTGTTGGACTGTTAGTCCCAGAGGGTATCACCAACCCAGTAGCCAGTACTTCGGTACTGGCATGGAAATACGGATTTTGTGTAGTTAAAATTTGCCGTTACAAAATTTCGAAAATTATTTCAAAATAAAGAATATATCTCCCCCATGCAAAGCTCTGATTCCTTGCCCGATGTTGGATATACTTTTCATGTCATTTTTGGATTATAAGCTCTTCATATATTTTATAAGCTTTGAATTTTCAAATATTTTGGCCCTGAGCATCACTGAAGAGACATTTATTGTCGAAATACGCATCTGGTGCTTAAAAATTGGTATCTCAAATGTTATTAAGTCTGCTTCATATCTTGACTTAAATCTAGAAACTGACAATGAGGGTTGGTTGAAAACAAAACTTTACGACAAAAGGGATGATTTCAGCTTCCCCATTGTGAACGTTCCATTTCTAGGTAGCAACATTCCAGCAGCGCCTGCATAAGGAGTTTATATCTCCCAGTTGATACGATATTTCAGGGCTTGTATTTCCATTAATAATATCCTTGATAGAGAGTTGCTGCTCACAAGGAAACTATTAAATCAAGAGTGGCAAAGTTGAAATCATCCCTTTGTAAATTTTACGGACGCCATCACGAGTTGGTTGATCATTATGGAATATCCGTTTCAGATGACAGCGGATATGTTCCAAATGTCGTAGCTATTATCCCGTCCCTTTTTCTCCGAATGTGACCTACCGAATTAGACGTATTACCGGGTTTGTACTTACATGAGCAACACGATCTGCTTACCCTTCCGGAGCATCTAAGATCACCCCAGTTTTTGGTGGGGTTCGTATTGCTCAGTCTTGAGCTTTTTATGTTGTGTTTTGTGTACTGTTTGTCTGTTGGTCTTTTTCTTTTTTAGCCATGGCGATGTCAGTTTATTTTCGACTTATGAGTTTGAATGTCACTTTGGTATCTTTCGCCTCTCTTTTATTGGAAATAATGACTTATTAATCTTATAAATAGATGTATTGTGAGTGGCAAAAGATATCAAGTTATGCCATGAATTAATGTTACCTTTTCCTGGTAGGTGTATGAACACTTTTGTCACTTGAAAAAAAATATTAATTGATTTGTAACACTTTATCCTTAAATAAAATACATATTTATGGGAAATAAACAATGACTTATTAATCTTATAAATACATGTATTGTGAGTGGCAGAAGATATAAAGTTATGCAATGAATTGATGTTAACTCCTCTTTGTTTGTGTATGAACACTTTTGTCACTGGGTATGATTTACAGATAAATAATGAACGGATACTGATTTGATTAATTTCTGCTTTTAGATAAACAAGAATAGTATTACCCTTTGCGCATAAAAAGATATCTTTTTGCCATTGGGAATTGTTCTCACAAAATATAACAGCATCACCAATTAATGTGTAGCCATCATCACAATTCGTGGTCACATTTCCTCCAGCTGCCCATGATGTATTTTGTTTGATGTAGGAGTTGTTATAAAAAGTTTGAGGGTCTATGCAATCTGTAAAATGAAAGTACGATGCATGTGAGTTTCTATCTTGCTATTCTTTATCCCTGTTAGATTGGAAACACTTTAAAAAGGTTCACTGAGATAATCAATCATGCACGGACAATAACCTTCATCTAATTTTATTTTTTCAGACAATTTACTACGAATGGAATCTAGTTGTTTTCCTTTTTAATTCCTGGATATTACTTTAATGTAATTGTGTTTTATGTTGAGTAGTCTTGACAGACTTCAATAACTAACGCGTCAAAAAAAAAACCAAAGCAATATGATATGATACGTGTTTAACTGAACATATTTGCTTTAGTTTTAAATAGTACCACTAGAATAAAATATACAAATTAGCAGGAACAAAATACAACAACTACAACTATGCTAATTTCATGACAGATATTACTTATTTTATTATGATTTGTAACATTTTATCCGTAAATGAAATACATATTTATGGGAAATAAACCATGACTTATGTATCTTCTAATTAGATGTATTGTGAGTGGCAGGAGATATCAAATTATGCAATGAATTAATGTTACCTTTTCCTTGTTGGTGTATGAACACTTTTGTCACTGGTTATGATTACAGATAAATAATGGCCGGATACTGATTTGATTATTACTGCTTTTAGATAAACAAAAATAATATTACCCTTTGCGCATAAAAAGATATCTTTTTGCCATTGGGAATTGTTCTCACAAAATATTACATCATCACCAATTAATGTGTAGCCATCATCACAACACATGGTCACATTTCCTCCAGCTGCCCATGATGTATTTTGTTTGATGTAGGAGTTGTTATAAAAAGTTTCAGGGTCTGTGCACTCTATAATTGAAAGACGATGGATGTGAGTTTCTATTTCGCTACTCTTTTCTTTCTTAGATTGAAAATGTTTCATAACGGTTCACTTAAATAATCAATCATGAACAATAAATTTCATCTAATTTTATTTTTTAGACAATTGATAACATATATTATTTTACTTTTTAATTGCTGGATGAATCGTTCATGCAGTTTGTTTTTAATGTCGAGTAGTCTATCAAGATAACCAGACTACAATAACTTACGCGTCAAATTAACACAAAGCAATATTATATCATAAAACTGAACAATGTTACCTTGGTTGTGAATAGTAACACCAGATTCATTAAACATATAATTAGTAGGAACAAAATACAAAACTACAATAGCCAATGTTCACTTCATGACAAATAATTAAAAAAAATCGACTTAATTTGATATATTGTGAGTAGCAGAGAAGATACCGAATTATACAATTCCCTGAATGGATATAACATTTTCCCCAGTCGCTGTATGAACGTTTTTGTTATTGGGTAGGATTACAAACACTTGTCAAATAAAACGGGCTACCGGACTTGAACTATCTTACAAGTGATCTTGGACAGACGATGATATATCCTTATACGCGAGTCGAAAAACGGACCTTGTACTGTTTTATACAGTTCTTTTGTTTTTCTGTTAACTCACTGTCCCAGGTTAGGGGTTGGTTGAGGGATAATAAACATGTTCATCCCCGACACAATCTATAAGGTCAGGTCAGGTCAGGTCAGGAGCCTGTTATTAAGTAGTTGTCGTTGATTGATGTCTGTCATATTTGTTAATTGTTTTTTTTCATAGATCAGGCCATAGATTGGTTTTTTGGTTTGAACTGTTTCTAATTTTGTCGTGTTGGGGCTGACTACACGGTATAGGGTTTGCACATTGTTTGAAGTTGTACGATTGCCTATACTTGCTTAAATCAGCTTTATTTGGACTCTGTTTGATAGTTTTTTAATTGGCAATCGCTACACATCTCCTTATTCTATATTGTTATAAAATGAAAAAAAAATGAATTTTAGATAAACTGGTGTTCGTACAATGTACAACTCTGATGTGTACAGCATTGTATGCTGGAATGGTAATATATATATAAAATTATGGATACATTTTCATTCGTGATGCATTGTGGGAGATTATTTCCTGTCGACGTTTTTTTTATCAAACTCTTTGAGTTCATGATATACTATTACTTTTAATTCAATGTTTTCTATTCGGACCTGGAATTATGTTTCAAACAACGGAAGAAGATACAAGTGGACAATAAGAAAATCATAAATCAAAGAAAAACAAGCAATAGCAAGGCCATAAAGAACACGATGGAAATACAAAACAACAGTGTACAAAACACTCCTGACGTCGGTAATTATAGAATAATTGAAAATCCGAACAACACCAAGAATCGTATCAAAAATAAACACCGGAGATAGGATTTATGTATTAACATGAAATATCATTCATATGTTCATTTTCGGTACGTTTTTGTCCATGAAATGTTGAATTATTCGAAACACTAAGGTTTTTTCACCACCAGGCAAAGATTGCTTTTGCAGTATACGGCACTTTTTTTTTCGGAATTCCGGTTTATATGATGTTTAACTTTATACTTTTTTATGCCATTTAACTGTTTTGATTCGATCACTGATGGGTCTGATAGAGACGAAACTAGCGTTTGGCTTACATAATTATAACTGATAAATTTCTACACGTCTCAAGCTTTAGTAGTCGTAGAAAAAACTATTTGTGATTTGATAGCATTCCAACCGATGTCACTTCGAAATGAGATCATGGATAAAATAAAAGTTTGAACGTTGATTAAGTTGTAAAAAGATAAGTGGGATTACAACTGAATAATTAAAAGTATTAACAAATATACCAAACTCCAAGGTACGTTCAAAAAGGGGAAGTCCGTTAAAACGGTACAGACATTTTCCGAAGAAAATATTGGGTTAAATCTGGTTTTATAGCTAGCTACACCTCCTACTTGTATGCCAGATTTTTTTTAGTTCAGTCATATCGACAAAATTGAGTGAGCAACCCAAACAGCGTTATAGGATAATGTGACAATAATTGGGATCCAGCAGCCAAAACTGTGTAAACATACATCACCGACAAACAACACTAAAAAATTCAAACAAACATACAAATAAATTTGAAAGTCACCAACAAAAACATTGCTGTAGGTGTTAGTAAATTTGACAAAGACACAAACAAAAATATATATTTTTTTGGTAAAGTAGAAATTAAGTAAAATTTAAATACAAGGGTAAACAACATAAAAACAACACTGTAAAATCCCCTAGCGTCCTCTGGACCCACCTGCATCAAGAACGCCGAAAACCAAAAACTTGATAGCTGGATGCATAAATACCGAGTCACGTCAAGCGTCATACGACCAAAAAGGAACATAATATCACAAAGACAAATAAAGAGAAAACTGTGAAAGAAATAAAAAGATACAAAACTTCAGACCAATGATCTATAACTAAAGAACATTTTGTATTATTCATTAAGTTGACATTGAATATTTAACTATTTGGTCTTGGTATTTTCCGATGAAATTAATGAGAAAAAAGACGAGAGGAGCAGCTGCAAGCTCTTGAATATCGTATTATTTAAGAAATGTGTTCTCCAAACGCGAGTAAAATTGATATATTGCTGTTAAGGTGAGAAAAATTACAATTTCAAAATTTAAATCGTCTTGTTTGTCATAAATGCTGGTAATGAGATGACCGCTGTAGTCAAATTCAAGGCATATGACTAGAAATGAGGCAGAGGAAGCTGTATCTGTCTTTTCAAACAAAATATTACGACTGAAATTGATCTTAAGCTAAACCGAAATGTTAATGACTTACGAGGTTTTTTTTCTTCTGTGAAGTTGATCACTGACTGTTAGGAATATTTATGTACCAGACATGATTGATTGTATAAAACGAGCATTGAAATATTCCTTCATACCAAAAGATGTATCTCTTTAACGGGCAGTTTAGTAAATAAAGTTAAGATTTGCATTTTGATGGTTCAAACAATACATACACATTATATATATAGCATTGTATCCAAGTATACTTTACACATACGGATTAAAGATGATATATGATATCAATAATATCTAAAAAGTAAGCGTCATCTTCCTGGCCTTGATAATTACTACTTACCATTATTTAATCCCATGATTGATAATGCATAACATGATATGATCACACTGTCGACACCCCTAATACAACTCCGTTTCTATGTCATGCAAATCCGCGATTATTCTTCTAATGTTTTCTGTTTCTTATTGGACTTACCTCGGTATGTATTGACTGGAGATTAAAAAGATTAATTGACCAGTAATAAAAAAAAAGTGGGAAATATAGTGGATTTTCGTTTGTCTGAATCTAATCGAGTGATGGTTTGACATACATATATGCAAAACATATACATTTTGACTTTTGCATTAAAATACTTTGTTTTTATATGTCCGGCGAAGTTCCACTCCTCGTGTGCTAACGTAGAAACAATATTCTGGTTAGGGAAAGGACAAATAATAATTTGTTTAACACATTATAATCAATAAAAAAAGTCTCTGAAATAGATAAAATCAAGATACTTGGTTTCTGTTATTGAAAACATATTTGTTCCGTTTGCTGTATAATTTTGTCAATAGAAAGTGACATTTTTATAGGAACCAACTGTCCTCATCTTCTTGCCGAGAGGTTTGTTACTTCTAATGAGGTAGTTTTCAAACAGGAACTACTCTTGATAAGCGAAAAAAGGAGCTGTATTCTGAAATTCTGAAAAGCGCCTGCATATGGAGTTTATATCTCCAATTTGATAAGATATTCCAGGGTTTGTATCCATGACAGAGGGTTGATGCTCACAAGGAAGCTATTAAATCATCAGTTCCAAGTGGTTAAGGTGAAAGCATCCCTTCGTAAATTTTACGGACGCCATCACGAGTTGGTTGACCGTTATGGAATATCTGTTTCACAGATGACGACAGATATGTTCCAGTTGTCGTAACCACAATCCCGTCCTATTTTCCCCGAATGTCACCAACCGAATTAGACTGATCACCGGGTTTGTACTTACATGAGCAACAGGACGGGTGCCACATGTAGAGCAGGATCTGCTAACCCTTCCGGAGGACCTGAGATCGCCGCCGGTGTTTGGTGGGGTTCGTGTTGCTCAGTCTTTAGTTTTCTATGTTGTGTTTGTTGTACTGTTGTTTGTCTTTTGGTCCTTTCCTTTTTTTGCCATGGCGTTGTCAGTTTATTTTCGACGTATGAGTTTGAATGTCCCTTTGGTATCTTTCGTCTCTCTTTTAAAGTTTGATGATCTATTCCAACGAAATTGAAATAATTGATACCAAAGATACGATGAAGTCCGCTAATTGAGTTTTATACACAAACCTCTAAAATAATAAAATAAATATTGTGAGAAAAAACATGTGTTATCTTTTGGGCGAAATCGAAAACAATTGTATTACCTTCTGCGCACGAAAAGATATCTTCTTGCCATTTGGAATTGTTCTGACAAAATATTACATTATAACCAAATAATGTGTAACCATCATCACAACTCATGGTCACATTTCCTCCAGCTGCCCATGACGTATTTTGTTTGATGTAGGAGTTCGTATACAAAGTTACAGGGTCTGTGCAATCTGTAAAATGAAAGTACGATGTGTGTTAGTTTCTATTTTGATACCCGTTTCTCCTGTCAAATTGAAAACGATTTGCAAAACATGGATAAAGTATGAATTCAATCTTTTAACGTCGAGTAATTGTACAAAATAGAAAAATTCAATAGTTCAAGCGACAAAGTTACTTAAACCAATTTGATATATCTGATCAAAGTTAACATTATTTTTTACAAATAAAAGTGCTACAGCATTTAAACTGTCGTACAAAACGATCATGGAGAGAAGATGATTTGTCCTACTACGATTTTCTAAAACAGACTTGATATAAAAGAAAATAAGATTTCATTTTGCATTTTGAATTACCTTATGTTTGCATATTGTGTAGCACCAATTTACAAAATATCTTTTATGATTCCAGCGTGACTGATGAGTCTTTTGTAAACGAAACGCGCGTCTGTAATGTAAGTAATTAAAAAACAGGCAGTGTCATGGCCATAGAGAAACCTACGAATAGACGCGCGTCTGGGGTACAAAGTTTTAATTCTGGCAACTATGATTATAAAAATAAGATTGCCAATGAGACAACTCTCCACAAGAGACCAAATGACACAGAAATTAACAACTATAGGTCACCGTACGGCCTTCAACAATGAGTAAAACCATACCGCTTAGTCAGCTATAAAAAAGGACCCGAAATGACAAATGTAAAACAACTAAAACGCGAAAAACTACAGCCTGATTTAAGTACAAAATAATGAACGAAAAACAAATATGATATACAGCAACAAACGACAACCACGTACTGAATTACAGGCTCCTGACTTGGGACAGGCACATACAGAATGTGGCGGGGTAAATCTAGTTTGAAGGCGCGCCAACCCTCCCCTAACCTGGGACAGTGGTGTAACAGTACAACATAAGAACAAACTTTAAAAATCAATTGAAAAAGGCTTAACTCATCAGATCGATACAAAGCAGAAATACATCTAACAAAAACACAGAGTGGACGTGGCAGGGTACTTATGCATCCCCACAACAAAAAGACACTATGTACAGAACTGAGAGTACTCGCAGTTACTGACAGCTAGTTCAAGGCAAATAACAACTAATAAAAAATAAATCACACATCCAAGACCAAAATATCAATCAGTACACATCCAACATGCAATGGATTTAGTGTAAAGACGTCATTAACAGTCAGAGAAAAACATGACATTGTGCAATGCCAAGATATAGGTATCGACAGATTGTAGAGCCATGAATGTGCCTATGTATATAAAAATAATATTTAGTTTGATTTTAATTTACTGATAACAAAATCAATATTAATACTTATAAAAACAATATTCAAAGATCTAATTATAGCGTTGAATTGGTAACCTTAGAATAAGTTTGATTAAAGGATCGATAAGTTTACCCGGATCGTATCTAAATTTCCGGGCTCGGTAAACAACATCTCCGTAAAAATTAGGATGTGCTCTCCCGTTGAAAATAAGTTTTCTACAGGTACAACCAAACTTCCAAACCAAATCCTTATATCTACGGAAGAATGTAGTAAAGGTTTTAAGTAATTTGTGGTAAAGAAATCCCTGATTTGATAATTTACCAGTAATACATAGATTACCTTCATTGAAATCCAAAACGTCACAACAGACACGGAAACATCACCGTCCTAAAAAGGAAAATTAACAATAGGGAACGAAAAATCGTCCCTCTTGTCGTACATTTATTAGTTTATTTCTATCGTATTATTGCTGATGAATCATTGGAGATGAATACCCTGTCGACGTTTCTAATCTCTCTCCCTTTGGAGTTCATGCCAGAAACATTAATTTGATTCCGATGCTTTTTATATGTACTGGAACTTCTGTTTTAAAAAGCGTCACTGAACAACAGGCAGAACGATGACCATAGAAAATAAACTGTTGACACAGAGATATGTCTCGCCTATCGGCATAAAATTAAAAAAAGACAACCTAAAGGACAGCAACATTGCTTATTAATTCAGTCACTGGACCATGATCTAGTGGGCAGGGCCTGAAATGGTCGACAAACTGATATATACAGACAGTAATATAACTTTATAGAAAATATCGTTGTTTATTATAAGTAGTTCATATCAATATAACTTAAGCTGTGGTCACACCTTACCGGATAGCTCGAACGGACGTCGAACGGATGAAAAAAAAAGTTTTCCGTTGACAGAATTTGTATCCGTTGGGTGTCCGTTGGTATACTGATCAAATAAAACGAACGGGTAACGAATGCCTAACGGACACTCAAAGGATATGCAACGTACGAGAAACGGAAACGTACCGGACAGAACGGACGTCGAACGTACATCCAACGGACGAGTACCGCATAAAACGGACACCTAACGGAAGCCTACCGGATAAAACGGATGAACAAGATAAGCGGAAAATTAAAAGCGATAATAATAATACATATCTTTCAAGACTAAGCAATGATCTTGCCCACCATCTCCTTTGTTTTCTCCTTCTTCTCCTTTCGACAACTAGTAGGTTTATATTTGCAACATTTAAGTTCAGTCGCACCTGAATAAGAGCTGCTTGATAGTGAAGACATGCTCTTACTCCAAGATCCATCATGAGTAATAGACGTTCATGACACTCAAGAATTCTGACATATCAATAATTGTCATTTCTGAGTGACGCGAAATTTTCAATTGGCATTTATCCGTGTTACATTCGGTAGGTATCCGTTATCCTTCTGTTCATGTCCGTTTCCCATCCGTTCATCGTCCGTTTTATCCGTTATACGTCCGGTAGAAGTCCGTTGGTGAATTTGTCTACCGGACCTCTAACGGATGTATAACGGACAAGTAACGGATACAAAACGGAAACGAAACGGACGCCCACCGGACGTTCAACGGACACTTCATCCGTTGGACGTCCGTTCAAAGTTTTGAACATGCTCAAAATTTTCCACCGGACAGAACGGACGTCGACGGATAAAACGGACGCTAAACGGACATGAAACGGATATGGACGGACGTTTAACGGATAAGAACGGACGTCTAACGAACATGAACGGATTGAAAAAAAAGTTATCCGTTCGAGCTATTTGTTAAGGTGTGACCGAGGCTTTAAGCAGAAAAACTTAACATTGAAAATTGTTTATTAATCCAAAGTCCGTGGCCCATGTCCTAGGGGGCAGGGCCTCAAAATAGTTGTCAAATTGATATGTACTGACAGTAATGGAACTTCATACAAAATATCATAGATCTATCATAAGTAGTTCTTATCAAACTGACTTAAGCAGAAAAACTTAACATTTAAAATTGCTAATTAATTCAAAGTCGCTGGACCATGACCTGGGGATGCAGGGCCTCAAAAAAGTCGTGAAACTGATATGAACTGATAGTAATGCAACTTCATACAAAATGTCATTGATCTATCACAAGTAGATCCTATCAAAATAACTTAAGCAGAAAACTTAACATTGAAAATTGCTAATTAATTCAGTCACTGGGCCATGTCCTACAGGCGGGCCTCAAAATAGTCGTCAAACTGATAAGTACTGATCTGTGACTTCGTACAAATAATGATTGATCTATCACAAGAAGATCCTATCAAACTGACTTAAGCAGAAAGCTTAACATTGAAAATTGCTAATTAATTCAAAGTCACTGGACCATGTCCTAGGGAGCAGGGCCTCAAAATAGTCGTGAAACTTATATGTACTGATAGTAATGCAACTTTATATTAAATATCAATGATCTATCGCAAGTAGTTCCTATCAAACTAACTTAAGCAGTAAACTTTACAATTGTTGACGCAGTCACCGTCACCGTCACCGTCGCAGGCGAGACAAAAACCACGAAAATACAAACAACATTCTACAAAAAGCACTGACGTCGGTAAATATATACTGCTTGAAAGAATAAGTTACACCAAGAATTTAATTAAAAAAACCATCAGAGATACACTTGTTAAGTTTAATTTATCGTTAGATAACGATTTTGTAACATAAAAACATTTTAACCGGTGTCATATCGAATTAAAATCGTAAATAAAAACATTTTGAAGTTGATAAAGACGTTAATAGATACTTGACGTTACAGCTAAATCATTACCGGATACTGATTTGGTAAATTGCTGCTTTCAGATAAAGAAAATAGTATTACCCTTCGCGCATAAAAATATATCTTTTTGCCATTGGGAATCCCTCTGACAAAAAATTACACCACCACCAGTTAATGTGTAACCATCATCACAACCCATGGTCACATTTCCGCCAGCTGCCCATGACGTATTATGTTTGATGTAAGAGTTCTTATAAAAGGTATCAGGATCTGTGCAATCTAAAATAAAATTACGATGCGTGAGAGTTTCTATTTTGCTACACTTTTCCCCTGTCAGATTGAAAACATAAAAAAAACGGTATAAATTATCAATTTCATTTTTCACACATCAGATAATCGTACAAAATAGCAAAAATACATGAATAACGAAAGCATTCAGGTTTACTCATAACAATATGATATCATATATCTAAGTTAATATTTATTTTGAAATGTATCACCAAATACAATATACAAATTAGTCAGAACAAAAGACCGCCTTTACATCCACCAATGTCAACTACATGATGTAACATAAAAAACATATAATGTATTTAATTTTGAGTTGTTGTAGCACGATAACCGTAAATAAAATACAACTGATAGGTAATAACAATGATTTTTTAATCTGATAATTTGTTGTGGTGAGTAGCAGAAGATAAAAAGAATATACAATTGACTAACCCTTTCCGTTGTCGGAGTACGAACTCCTTTATTACCAATGTGGGACGTTCTTCAAGAGCCTATTTTTTCATCGCACTAATGATACATTTTTAGTTGTTATTTCGAAGGCGAAAAGTTTTACAAGACTTAAACTGACAGCAATATGACAGGATCTAATTTAACAAATTTAATCTAAGTAGTAATATACAAATAATAAAGAAAAAAAAGCAAGCATGACTGCTTTGTATGCATCTCCAGACTGAGTGAAAAATGTCTCTCGTGAAATAATATTGAGGCAGACACATCGCAACGGTCAAGCTTTGATATTGTAGATGCAAGAAATATTGTCACCATGGTGGAGGTTTCCGTAGCTCTTTTCAAAAACAAATTTACGACTTAAATTGATAGTAAGCTTAACTGAAATGTTAGTGAAATGTTTTTGTTTCTTTTGTGAAGTTGATCACTGACTATCACAATCTTTAATCGTTTGTCAGAATATCTTCCAGACATGATTTATTGTATTGGACGAGCATTGACACATTCCTTTATATCAAGAGGGTGTATCTCTTTAACGAGTATGAATAATGCATTTAGAAGGTTCAAACAATGTATAACAATGACAAATACAGCATTGTATCAAAGTATAGTTTACACATACGGATAAAAGGTAATTTATGATATCAATAATATCCGTTTCGACGTAGGAAGTGTGTTTCTAAAAAAACAATTAACGTCATCTTCCTGACCTGAATCATTTTTACTTGATATTACTTTCGAATCGCTTGATTGATGATACATAACATGATATGATTACACTGTCGACATCCCTTATCTTACTCCGTTTCTAGGTCATGCGATGCCGCGATTATTTTTCCAATGTTTTTTGTTTCTTAATGGGCTTATTTTACAACTGACTTCGGTATGGATTGACTGGAAAGAAAAAAAGATTTAGTGACCAGGCAGTGAGTGAAAAAGGGGGAAATATAGTGGATTTTGTTATGTCTGAAACAAATCGGGTGATGGTTTTGACATCTATACATAAAATAAATATACAATTGACTCAAGCATGTACAATTTTTTTTTCAAATATGTACTTGATATTCTATGTCAAGTCTGAAGTTCCGATGTGATTATTATTAACTGGACTATTCGGAGAAAGCAAAGAAAAATCGAATTGATAACTAATTTAGAAATGTGTAAAACATATATCTTACAATGGAAAATATCTAGCAGATACAGGATTCCTTTATAAAAGAGGTGACAATCATAATGACATATGACGTCTTAGATAACCAAAAGACAAGAATGAAAATTAAAAAACTATTTAAAAAGTATCTATAATAACATAGAATAAGGTTAAAAATTACTATTTTATAATGTTGAAACACTTCTTATTTGGATGCCGTGGTTTTTATGTACCTTTTACTTTGAGTATTATTTAAACTTAAATACGACAAAAAAAAACAAAAAAAAATCAATACAATGAAAAAAGAAACACACAAACGAAACCATAGAATAATGAAATAAGTGTGAACAACTTGAAAACTAGACTAAGAACGTTGAAATAATGATGATTGTAACTTATTAAACATAACGTCCGTGCTTTGTGAATATAATGTCTCATGCTTACGGCAACACCTATTTTAGGGGTCCATGTGTCCACCACACCCTCTTTTTCAGTGACTATCAAAATTGTAGATCCGAAATACTGACTTTCTGAACTATTTGATATATAATTTGATTTGTTCTTGTTTGAATGTGCACGACATTTTTTGATTTGACGTTAGAATTATAATCAAGTTATTAGCAGATTTAAATATGCTCGAGTAAACAAGTTAATTGTGATAAATATAGATTATACCAACGGAAGGCAGAAATTTCTGATGCACCACAAAACATTTCTAAACTACAAGGGGTTATAGCGCTGAAACGTGTGTACATATGCACAGGCGTGACTCAGTTGAACTTAGTTTTTTCCACGTCCTTTACTCATCCTAGTAGGCGACAAACTTTTTAGCAGTGAGGAAAATTAAAAGTTTCAAACTGAACTACAAGGGGTTTGAAAGTTAGATTTCAGAAACGATTTGTGACGGACACACGGACGCACCGACGGACAAACTAAATACTATGGGGCTCAGGAGATTTATCGGTGGTGCTATATTTAATTAAAACAAATTATTGCCCTTTTCATAGCAAGGGAGTTAAACATCTCTTTGGATACGCATACATTTCTCAAAGTCGGTACATATGAATGAAAGAAAATGTGAGGATAAATGCAAGTTAGATAGCAGTTAACAACACAGAAATGGACATGCCGAAGTGACTATACTGTCATAAACGATGCAAAAGCAATCACAGAGTTTGAAGACTTCGTTTAACATTCTGTTTGGACGCTTTTTTTCAAAACAAGTAGATCGGTTATAAACTGTAATCGTTTACTTATTATGTATGCATATGTTACGATGCGGTTTGTCAAGGTTTTAGATAAATGCAACATACAGAGTAGAAGAATTAAGAACAACATCTTCTTCTAAATAGATTTAAATATACAGAGAAATCAACAATGATCAGGAAGATTCCGCGCCGGCATTTGAACATGTGTTTGTTATGAGTCCACTATTTCTACTTGAAACAAACGAAAGAATTAAGACATGCATGAACATCAATATCAAAAACAAAACAATTATATTCTGAGTCTACTTAAAAATTTTACATCCGGCTTGCCTCGTAGTCGTGAGTATTATAAACATAATAATCCAACTTTATCCAAGGAGAATAATAGTGTCATTCTTTTTCTCTTGTTTATAATTTGCCGCTGTTGTTCCTTGATGCACAATGCAATCTACCTCCGCTTAGAAATCAAATCATAGTTGTCTTTTTGTTGATATCTTTAAAAGTTCATATATTGATGTTTTCTTCGGTGGTGTTATGTCGTTGAATCCCGTTTGTGTCAGAACAAACTATATTAAGCCTGAACTGTACACAATATTAATCGTATATATAGATCCATAAAATATACGAAATATCCTTTTGTGGTAGTTATTTTTTCTAACATTTGCTTCATTGAAAACTATTTCCAACCTTGAGTTAATCAAACACTTAAAATAATCACTTAACATTGAAATTTAGTCACTCAGACCAATTGTTTTCTATATTTGTTACCTTGGAGCAAACGAATTCTGTGGTCGACTGATATTGTGATCTCTTGTCTGTCTCACATCAAACTAACTTACGCTTAACCAAAATATATCCCCATCCTTTTGACTTTTACTTTAGAGTCATAAAATGATATAGTCCGTCGTGTAATAACATCATATGTTAACAGTTGTTTCAAATCAAAGTATTTGGGACTATAACGGTAATATAAAACCAAATATAATTGTTTTATTTTTTCTAGCAGTGAAGAATCTATATCATATCGGCATGCTGTCAACAATATTATACACAATTTTGGTAAAATATCTTGTAAAAACCTTGATTTTTTTACAATTAAAAACTAGGTTTTGAACAAGGTTTTATTAACCGCGACCTTCTCTTAGATCATTCTTTAAAATTGCAAATCGAAACAGGGAATGTGTCAAAGAGACAACAACCCGACCAAAGAGAAGAAAACAGCCCAAGGCCACCAATGGGTCTTCGATACAGCGAGAAAATACCGCACCCGGAGTTGGGCTTCAGCTGGCCCGTAAAAATAATGTATACTAGTTCGGAGAAATGGACGTCACTATAAATTCCTAAACATATAAATGAACCAAAATTAAAATTAAAAAAACATACAAGACTAACATAGGCCAGAGGTTCCAGACTTGGGACTGGCGCAAAAATGAAAAATCATTACACCAGGGTTTTCGATATCACAAACTTGTCAAAACATTTACTAAATTTTATCATCGGTACAAGGATATCATTCGTAAATATAAATCAACGTGCAGACATCTTATACGTTCAGGTATTTCACATCCAATCTTTTATGGTAATAATTTATACAAAGCACAAAAATGTCGTCATTCACCTCAAAAGCTAACCAAACCTTTAAACAGACTTATTCAGAAGGGATATAGCTACGATACTGATGTCAGGTCATTAAAGATGGCATTTTTTGGAATTAATATTGATTCACTCATAGGGTCTTTGCATCCGAAATAGACACATTTATTCTCAAACCAGTTGTTGGCATGATACGGGTTATGTTCTTCTCGTATATTTTATGATGGTATGATACTTAACCCCTAACGGGAGGGATTGTACTTGATTTTCATATGTTGAAAACATAATCTTTCAATCAGTTTAATTGAGGTCTTAAGCTGACATGTCAGTAACTGCCAGTAGTCTTTGTTAATTTATGTATCATTGTCATTTTGCTTAGTTTCTTCTGACCTGTTACCTATTCTAACATCCGACTCGGACTTCTTTTAAACTGAGTTTTACTCTGCGTATTGCTGTATGTTAGTTTATTCTACATTGGCTATAGGTATAGGGGGAGGGTTGAGATCTCACAAAACATGTTTAACCCCGCCGTATTTTTGCGCCTGTCCCAAGTCAGGAGCCTCTGTCCTTTGTTAGTCTGGTATG